CGAAGTACAAAAGTGGGTAGATTATGTAAATCACCCTACTTAAAATGTGTAAGTAAGCGATAATTCCCGTGGTTAGTTCAAAAGGCCAACTTTTCTTAGTTTACTGATTTTAGTAGTTATGGGATATGCTTGCCTTCGGAGAACAGTTCTGCATTCCAATGCCACCAGCAAATCCCAGCTGGATCGATGGATGGCGTATAGAAAACCGGAAGGTTATAGGTAATTCAACCTACTTAAAAATTTAGGTAGGGGGCTATAATACATAGGGACCTTTCAAAGACCTCACGACATAAGCCTACCCTTCAGGGCGCCGGACGAGCTTGGGAGTAAATGAGCACATAAAGCCTAAGCAAGAACAGCCTGACTGGTTGTGCTGAGCAGAATGCACATACTTTTTGGCCAAAGACCTATTGCGGGCTATCATTTAGGTTTTTGCAACCAGCTAGTCAGTCGAGGGTTCGTAGGGGTATTACAAATGGCGTAGCGTACCAAGTGTGCTCGTGTCTATAACTTTTTAGTTGGTTGCTTGCTATACTAACATCAGGTCAGGTTCATTCCTGTGCCCTCTGGACAGAATGAATTAGCTTTCGGAGTCGGATAAAACTGTTTGACAACGGCTAATGAGCCAGGAAGTGAAAAGTCAGATGACAGGCGGAACCCGTGCAAATAAATGCTCTACAAGAAGAGTTAGATAATATTTTTTAGTTCATAACGGAAAGAGCTAGGAGAACTGAGACGTTTATCTAAAGTAATGTGTAGACAATCATTCCACTTACCCGGTAGCTGGTGGCGAGAACACGTAACCGAGTGCCCAGGGGACCAATAGTATCTTCAATAAACTGTTTTCGACGTTCGACCTCTTGGCTATCTGACACCTTATTGACACCCCACTTGCCGGACTTGGAGGTGGCATCAATCTAGAGTAAAGAGAGTGAAAATTGCGCAACTGAAAAGCGGCACAGGCGTAGCAAACAAGGGTTTAAACTTGACAGTATTCTGGGGCTCTTGCTACTGAAGCTTACGCAACACATGCAATTAACAAAGGAAGGCAAACAGTCAAAGTGGTTCGAGTCGATAAAATAAACACAAACACAGTGGGTTTTATAACACCTACCATTTACGAGAAAATATGATAGTGGAGTCGAATTGTGGCAATTCCAATCTATCATCGACTTTTTGAGACTGCATGAGCTAACTTTGAGGGATTCAGCTCATCAGCGGATCCCCCCTACCGGCTCGTACGATTACTCGCAAACGGAAATACTGTTGCAAGATTTTCAGCTGTGAAGAGCATGCTTTTTCCAGCAAAATGGATACTATCCAACTTGAACTGTTGCATAAAAA